GGATTTTAGCTGATCCTTTTCGCCCTTTAATTGTCCAGGTTCTTGCTGGCGGCATGTCGAACTGGATGGCCGTTTCATCCATGTTGTACATTTCCGGTAGAGAGTATGAACCGTACACTCCAAAATTCAATTGCAAAATCCGTTTTTAAGCGCTGCAGATCCACACTTGGGAGCTTGGTTTCTTGGACTTTTTGAGTTGAGAATCCGTAACTTAAATCAGGTTCAATTTATTTATTTATTAATAACTCAGTTAATAATGCAATAATATTGTACAGATAATACCGGTCGGCGGTTCGCTGCAGTAGACGTTCAAGGGCCCGTCTGCAACTCTCGTCAGACTTCTTGTTCTCCGCGTAGGCCTCTATCCAGTCAGGGTAGCTCTCTTGAATAAAAGCAATTATTCCTGATGTAGTAAGAAACTACAAGAGTTAAACAGTAAGAGTAAGTAATAATAAAATACTATAAAATTTAAATAACTCACTTTTTCGTCGCGGTGTACGTCTTTCGTGTACGTCAAAAGGGCAGAGGTAAATGGAAAGCTTTCCTTACGTCCCTGCCCTTTGGTCGTCTTGTCCAACTTATTCCCCCCGTAGACGCGCAGCTTGGTCCTACCGACCCACCACCCATGCACCGTGCCGTGCGGGTGGCCCAGCTTTCAACGGCGGCAGTGAGTCCAATCCTCTCAATGAGGTCGACTGCCGCCAGCTTCTCTTTAATTGGGTAGCCGCGCTGCTTCTTCGTCCCGATCGTAGGTTTAGAAAGTGATCGTGCAGCGCGGCTTCACCCTCGAATTCCCAAGCGAATTTTAGCTCGATTTATTGGATGGTCATCATAACTTAACTACTTTTGGATTGGTCAATATTTACTGTGGGGCGCTTTCATTTTTCCGTGTTTTGTGTACGCCGGCTTTTTGTGTCGTTGTCGGTAGTGGGTGGTACCCCTCTTCCGCGTCAAACTGAGATAGACACCATTTCGACCCCCTCACCAGAGGTATTGGCTTGGTGGTGACAGCGGCTTTGGCTGCAATAGCCTCAGTACATTTTATTACCGATGACGAGCTAAGTTGGACTTTGTCACCACCACGGAGCTGCAAGAACCGTGGCTTGAAGGCGATTCGGCGATCTGAAAAATGAGCAAACAAATATATGTCTTCAGAACTATATTGGATGCACAAAAATCAATCATACGAGAATGTGACCCCTAAACAAACCCAAGTTATTTTGTTTTCTGAGTTTATATGAAGTAGAGACGAGAAAAGCAAGTCTATTTAGCTTGACGTACAGTATTCGGCCTAATTCTGCCGCCTCTCGTACCACGAGTCATATATTTCAATACCGTATTGTACTATTGACTGAACGTTGAGCCAGGCTGTTTAAACATGCCGCTGATAAAAGCGATACTCTTCGGGGTTTTATCAGAGCAGAGCGAGAAACCCACGTAATGCTCCTTGTCTAGTGCATCTATTAAGCTACTGCACTCCTACTATTGTCCCGGCCATCCAACATTATACGTATTTTGGCCTCTAAAACGTTGTTACTTCAACAAAAAGCTTTAATCCAACTGTACACTGTACAGTCGACTCATTATTTGTGAAATATAACAAATGAGATACTGAATGTTATTTTTCACAATTCCGACTGTGACACCCTGAACCTTATTATTACAGTAGTACTCTTTAGACTGTGTTGTAAGACTATCGGAGACAATATAATCACCATAATATGCACAGCCCAAAAGAAAAAAATTCCATGCAAATCATACAATTATTATAACATTTATTTCGCTTATCGTAAGACCTCACGCTTGCAATTTCATTTCCTTATCTGATTCAGCTAATCTTTGATGTTATATTTGTAATGATAGACTATTCCAACCGTATACGCCAATAATAACTGTATTATAATAACTACTTTTACCATACCCTGCTTAGAGATCGATATATCCGCAGATACTGGCGTGTCGCCATTAACATTGGACGTTAATGAGCATTAATCAGCTTTATGAAGCAGACACAAGAGATGCTGTGTCACAGTGTATACATGTACCAGACCGGTAGATAACGATCATAGTTTTGTTGACATCTATTTTATAAATGCTAGTTCGTTTCGTAATTAGCGATGTGTTCTTCCTAATTTCGTTGCGCTCTCCCAGCGTTTGCGGATCCCTATTGCACAAACCGCAATCGAGCCTTCAAAATGATCCAATTACGTAAGCATAGACGTGTCAAGTTTCTAATGGGTGCTTTCGAAGCTAACGACTTGACACGGATCCACCTAATTGAGATCGTAAGTTGGAATATATTGGCGAGACGCCTGCATGCATAGTACGTTGAGAGCCATATTTGAGGCGCAAGTGGTAGCTCAAGTCAAGGAAAAGGCCGCTAAAGATCAAACAATGACACGTCTGATACTTGCGGAGTGCGCATTGAGAATTCCAGAAAGTGTCGAAGAAAAACAAAGTAGGTCAAAATTTATGGCTCACCCAATTTTCGGCGCCACGATCGCCATCGTAGTGACGGAGGATAAGGATGAGCACTAGAGAGCATAGCCGCAAGATATGGTGGTTGTGCTGCCGTGCAAGTTTACACATGGCATAGCCAAGATCATCATCCACGGTGAGACCAG